TTTTCTGACAACCAGTTCCAGACCCTTGGAGTGGTACCTCCAAGTCTCTGTCTTAAACCCGTAGCCACCTGGATACCAGGAAATACAGAACCTTATGAACGGACAGCAGACAACTTCATGAAGAGGTTACCTCTCAAGCAGGACCCCATGACAGGAACTGATGTTGCCCCCTAAAGCAGGAGCTGTCATCTCATGGGAATTGCACTGCCCTCTCAAGCAATGCTAGGTCTCAATGAACCAGTTATGAGACAAAAGCTCTAGTTACACATTTAACCACTGGACAAAATTTTATTGCCACGACTTCCAGGAGAACATGGCGGATAGATAGCAGCAGCTTCGGAGGCTCTCTGAGAAACCGCACTTAAAATCCAGGAATGGTGCCGCATGAGAAATCCTAAGCAAGGGGAAATATACTTTGCCGACCAAAGAACGAACTAAACTAAGAGAAACCAACTGGAAACACAATCCCAGTGATACAACAAGAACAGATAAGGTCTCAGCGCAGAAGCTGGACCCCGCGCCGCTGGAAGCTGTGAATTGAATTTCCTGCAGCCACTGCTGCATCCCAATCAGCACGGCAAGGAGAGAGGCATGAAAGCTCTGAGACTGGGAAGCAGTGAATGGAGTTGAGAGCAGGACTGGCCGGAAGACCTGCATCAACCTGCGGTGAGTGAGCAGATCGGGGACCCTTCCATAGAGTAGGAGGCTTCAGCAAAGGACATACTGGGACCGGGCAGACTACCTGGAACAGGATGCTGCTATGACTTCAGTCACATATTCCCCTCTCAAGCAGGATTGGTGGGGAATGCCTGGCCTGCATGATGCTGCTGACTAAGACCCAGTAGGCTAGCCCAAACCAGGTCCCGGTGCCTGGAGGTGCACCCTAGTAGTGAAGCCAGGTTAACCTGGAGGGGCAGGCCCAGCATAGGCTGCCCAGGTCTGTGTCTCCCTAGTACACTGCAGTGGGCAGGAACACCTAGCCAGCAGATTCAAACAAACTGTAACTGACAAAGAAAGAAAGAAACTGGACCTCCTAGACACACTTGTATATAAGGAATAAAAAAATATGGGAAGAGGGAGCAACAAGAAAGGGTCCTTGGCCCCCAATCCTGAGAAACATGCACAATCAGACATGGCACCAATAGATATAAAGCGCAATCTCCAGAGTATCATAGACGAGTTCAGGAATGAAGTTATTAACGACCTGAAGCAAGATATAAGTAGAATAGTTAGAGAAATGCTAAGCACTGCCCAAGAAAAAACAGATGGTGGAATGGAAGAACAGAAAAAAAGGGGAGAATTGTTTGATGGAAAAAATAGAGAAAACAGCATACGTGAAGCAAGTTCAAAGAGATTACCAGGAAACTAAAAATTCTATCCAAAACTGGCATAACAGCTTGAAAGAAACTAAGGATAGATCGATCATCTGAACTGGAGGGAAGATTTGTAATATGGGAGCATGAAATGAAAAACTTCTTAAAAATAACAAAAAAAACCCAGCAAAAATACAAAGGCTAGAAGATGATAAGAGGATCTATAACTTAAGAATTAAGAACATAAAAGAAGAAGTAGGGACACAAACAAATGGACCACAAAAGCTATTCACAGAAATAATCCAAGAGAATTTCCCCAATTTAGCAAATGGTAAAGATACTCAGATGTATGAGGCATACAGGACCCCAGACAGAACTACAACCCAAACAGAACTACACCCAGGCATATAATAATCAAAATTCCAGAAATCCAATATAAGCACAGAGTATTAAAAGCTGTCAGAGACAAGAAACAGATCACTTACAAGGGAACACCCATCAGAATTACAGCAGACTTCTCGGCACAAACCATCAAATCACGAACAGCATGGGGGGAAATAATTCAAGCTTTGAAAGATAATAACCTCCAGCCAAGATTGATATATCCTGCACAACTGTCCCTTAGAAATTGATGAAAAAACAAGGTGCTTCCAGGATAAAGAGGAACTAGGGGAATTTGCAACCACCAATTCAACTCTACAGAGAATACTGCAGGATATTCTATAAAAGAAAAATACCAAGATTCCAGAAACAGTGGCAGAGAGGCCACAATGAATGGAGCAGAAAACAAAATGAAGAAGACAAACTGACAACAAATGTCAGAAAAAGAGCTCAACAGAAATGAGGCAGCGAAGATCAGATGGTAGGAACAGGTATTTTGGAGAAAACAAGTCATTATAATAGCTACTGCTGATTTAGTATCATCTTGTTTTGAAGTCCCATCAAACTTGTATTCTTCTGTCTCCATCGGTCTTAAAAAGTTGTATCTTATTGTATGATAATATAAGCAAAAACTTTTATAGACAAGGAGATTATACAGAAACCATTGTTCATTTTCTGTTAATTGGTTCTAAATACCCTGTAATAATGTCATTCTCTTGAATGGTTTTATAGTGTCTTGATATGTTTGGTGCTACAGTACTCCAAGTTATACTCAAATATTTCAAGGAAAGAGACACTATGGTAACTATTTTTATGTCAGGATATCTTGTGGGGAAACACTATTTTGCTTAAATGGTATGTTTTGACCTGCACTGTTCTGTTGTTATGCCCTCTTTTATCTCAATCCCCTTTTTTAAAATTATTTTTCTTTTTAAGGGAAAAATAAAAAAATAGCAGGATACATTATAGTAACCTACCTTGATTTCCCATTACTTGATTTGAAATCCTGTATTGCTTTCACCATCTTGTTTTGACTGATTTTCCCCTATTCTGCTTTGCTTAATAGTACCAAGTTCGAAAGTATAGGCAAAACTGTGAAGACAATAAGAATCATTATTCCGGTTGACTATTATTTTCTTTTAAAGTCCTATAATGTCTCCAATGCTTTGGCTTTATTCTTTACTGTTTTGTTCAATTTTATTATAACTGGCAAGAGGCAGTTCTTCTTAAAATAGCAAGAGGCAGTATGGTAACCATTGTTGATCACCTTATATTTTGTTTTTACTTATCTATTATGTCCAACTTTTTTTTTCATTTTTATTGGTACCAGGGATCGAACTCATGACTGCCTGCTTGCAAGGCAGGCGCTTATGCCACTGAGCTAAATCCCCAGCCCCAATGTCCAACCTTTTGATTTGACTGTGCTCTGATATGTCACATTTGGTTTACTCTCTTCAAAAAAAAGTAATAAGGACTGTGGGAGTAATAAAACCCAAAATGTGTAATTGTCATTGTACAAAAGAAAAGAAAAGAAAGTGCTCTAAATATTATAACTGTAAATATGTTTAAGTGTATAAGATAGATAACCCTATTACTGAGTTTTTTTGGATCATTGAACAAAAGTGTTTGCACTCTCACTGTTTCAAAGTCCACTTTATATGCTTCAATTTTGTAACTTGAACAACTTCCTAAGATGAGAATATGTTATCTATTAGCTAGTGATTTCTGTTTATTTTTTAAATTTTGTATTACTTGTACCCTTTTTGGTTTTTTTCTCCTTAAACAAAAAAATTTGATTGCCACATAACTATATATGTAGAATACAAGTACTTCTTACCTACTGTCACCTTAGTCTAAGCCACTGTCAACTTTCATCTGGATTATTGCCACAGCTTCCTATTCTAATTGTATTTTTATTTTTACATTTTGTGAGCATGTCTTCTGCTCACAACTCTCCAGTGGCTTCCCATTTCCCTTGGAATAAAAGCAGGCTGCTTACAAGGCATACAAAGATACACAAATCTCTTGTCTCTTGTTCTATTAATCACCCCATGTACAGAACTCTACAGTAACTTCCCTGATGGCCTTTGCTTTAACATTTTCCTCCTGCCTCAAATGCTCTTTTCCTCCCCAAGTGATTATTATCCAGAATCTGGATTCTGAATCTTAAGAGAAGTTCAATTGTTAATTACCACATTGTCATGTTTCCTGAAGTCTAGGAATTCTCTTTGCCTAGACAATCATGACTTACTCCTTTCAATCTCAGCTTTGATCCTAATGATCCACCTTGAATCACTGTATTTCACGCAACAACTTTAACTGTCCCCTCCTATTTCAGCACTGAAGGTAGAACCTAGGGCCTCATATATGTTAGGCAAATGAACTAAAACTGAGCTACACCCAAGCACTTTTGAAAATTCTGAGATAGGGTTGCCCATGTTGGCTTCAAACTTACAATTCTCCTGCCTCAGGCTCCAAGATTACTTGGATTACAGGACTGTGTCACTGTACCTGTTCCTACTCTCTCATTCTGAATGGCTTTTGACACTAAAGCAAATTGATATTCTGTATTTACTTTACTTCCTCCTACTAGAATTGTAATGAAAATATCAGCAATACCAAGGACAATGACTTGAACACAGTAAGAACCCAATTAATGTGATTAATTTTGGAGTAAGAGGCTTGGGTGTGGCACTATTTATTAGAAAATTCACTGGCCCTGTATGGATGTACAATGATCCTATTTCTTGTTCAAGCTGTCCTTTTAAATCAGTATAATTGGTTTTAGTTAAGGATAGAAGATTAAATGCTTAAGTCAGAGATAGCATCTATTAAAGTAACATCATTTTCAACTGTTATCTCTAAATTCACTTCACAGGCCATTACTGAAAATAGCAAGAAATACTGAACATACACATTTTGAATCACTCTTACTACTTCCTCAAACATTACAGCCTAGACTGGTACTGGGTTTGCCTTATAGGATAATATTAGGCAGTCTGACCAAATGTCCTGCCTATGGAGATAAGAAATTAAGTTTGGTAGCCTGAATTGGGTAAATACTCATTCTATGTGATTCTAAGTTGTGTTTATTTTTTGAGACAGAGTCTTACCATGTAGTTCATGCTGGGTTTGAACTTGCAGTGATCCTCCTGACTCAGCCTCCTGAATGCTGGGATACATTGTCCTAAGTTAATACCCCACTAGAGATTCCTTATTTACCCACAGCACTTGACTTCCAGTTATAGCATTTAAAAAATGTACTTAAGAGGAGTTTTTTTTCCTAATAAGAGAACTACAACAGCATCAATAAGAAGTTGACTTTAATTTTATATACAGAAATACAGAAGGCAGGCAGACCAGAGTTGGTATGACTGTTCAATAAAATCACCAGAGTTTCAAAATTCCTCCTGTATTTCTGTTCCACCACCCACAATACCCAGAAAACATTCTGACAGTCCTTGCAAGACTGCAGAATGAATACATTGTAGGTAAGGAAATGAAAAAAAAAATGGAAAGAATTTTTTGATAGCTTACTCATACAAATTTCACTTCTCACAGAATTTGTTATTAAAGATGGAAAAATGGATATTGGGTAGGGACACAGTCTCTGACACAAACTCATTTTTCTTTGCAATATAGCCGGTTAATGTCAGTTTTTCTTTTCATTTTAATTCAAAATCTCAAATTTTAAAAAATTTCCTATAGATTTATTTTGGCTATTTATAATCTTAAATAGTGGTCAGAGATGGCAGGTAGGAAATACAAGAATCTGGGTATTGTGACAAACTACTTCATACTTTTCTTAAAACTCTGTAACAGTTGTGCTCAATAATCCACTGGTTGAATACTACAGGGCTTTCTACTCTATAAATTTCCTCATATATCATATTGGATGAGCTCTAAATGAAAGCATAGTATACGTGGTATGGGTTATAAAAGATTTCTTGATATTAATAACACTCATAAGTGCCTTCCTTTCATGCATAGCCTCTGAAATAACAATAATGAAAATAGTACTTTTTGTTTTGTTTTTTTGAGATAGGGTCTCGCTATGTAGTTCATGCTGGCTTTGAACTCACTATGTAGCCCAGGTTGGTCTTAAAATCATGGCAATACTCGTGTCACAGCCTGCCAAGTGCTGGGAGTATAGGCATGCACCATCACACCCGACTAATACCTAGTATTTTATAATATGTTCAAGGCTCTGTTCTAAGAGCTTTCACATGTAATAACACGCAATAGTTCCAAGAACCTTACCAAAAAGTTATTCCTATGTTTATATTATAAATGACTAAACCAAAAGGTATAAAAAATGTCACAAAGGAAATCAACTGGCACAGCCAAGATACTGTTGATAAAGACATTTGCTATGGCTAAAGGCTTTTGTATTTTTGCTGTATTAACAGATTTTTCTATTTTAATTTGCTAAAGTTTAATAAGGTTACAGCAATGAAAGGTTTTTCTACACTGATTAATACTTCCATTGCCCCATTTAAAGTCTCTGATGCTGAACTTTAGCAGACAAATGTGGCCCATATTCCCATTTGTAAGAATTGTTTACAGATAACGGATGACCAGAGAAACGTGTGTCAATCACAAAACATCAGGTTAATTCATATAAAAACTTGTGAATCATTACTAAAGCGTAGTTCACATTCTTTGTAGTCAAAAGATTTATTTGTGACATGCATTCTCTGATGCTGAGTAAGTTGTGAACCACGAGTGAAAGATTTTCCACATTCCTTACACTGATACGGTTTCTCACCAGTATGAATTCTCTGATGCCGAGAAAGATGTGAGCTCTGAGTAAAGGCCTTTCTACATTCTTTGCATTCGTAGGGCTTCTCTCCCGTATGGATTCTCTGATGTAGAGTAAGTTGAGAGCCATGACTAAAGGCCTTTCCACATTCCTTGCATTCATAAGGCTTCTCTCCAGTGTGAATTCGCTGATGTTGAGTAAGCTGTGAACCACGAATAAAGGCTTTCCCACATTCTTTACACTGATATGGTTTTTCACCTGTGTGAATTCTCTGGTGTTGAATAAGTAATAAGCCACGAGCAAAAGCCTTCCCACATTCATTACATACATAGGGTTTCTCACCAGTATGAAGTCTCTGATGTTGAGAAAGATGTGAACTCTGAGTAAAGGCCATTCTGCATTCTTTACATTCATAAGGTTTTTCACCAGTGTGGATCCTTTGATGCTGAGTAAGCTGTGAGCCACGAATAAAAGACTTTCCACATTCCTTACATTCATAGGGTTTCTCACCAGTGTGTATTCTCTCATGTTGAGTAAGTTCTGAGCCACGACTAAAGTTTTTTCCACACTCTTTACATTCATATGGTTTCTCACCAGTGTGAATCCTCTGATGTCGTGTAAGGAGTGAGCCACGATTAAAGGCCTTTCCACACTCTTTACATTGATAGGGCTTTTCACCTGTATGAATTCTCTGATGTTGAGTAAGTTGTGAGCCATGACTAAAGGTCTTTCCACATTCCTTACATTCATAGGGCTTCTCATTAGTATGAATTCTCTGGTGTTGAGTAAGTTGTGAACCACGGATAAAGGCCTTCCCACATTCTTCACACTTATATGGTTTCTCACCAGTATGAATTCTTTGATGTTGCATTAGGAGTGAGCCCCGAATAAAGGCCTTTCCACATTCCTTACATTCATATGGCTTTTCCCCATTATGAATTTTCTGATGTTGGGAAAGCTGTGAACCACAGATAAAAGCCTTCCCACATTCCTTACATTCATAAGGTTTCTCACCAGTATGAATTCTTCTATGCAGAATAAGTTGTGAGAGTTGAGTAAAGACCTTCCTACATTCTTTACATTCATACAGTTTCTCACCAGTATGAAGTCTCTGGTGCAGAGTAAGTTGTGAGTTTTGAGTAAAGGCCTTTCCACATTCTTTACATTCATAAGGTTTTTCACCAGTATGCACTTTCTGATGACGGGTGAGTTGTGAGCTACGAATAAAGGATTTTCCACATTCTTCACATTTATATGGTTTTTCACCAGTATGAATTCTATGATGTAAAATAAGTTGTGAACTTTGAGTAAAGGCCTTCCCACACTCTTTGCATGCATATGGTTTCTCTCCAGTATGAAGTCTCTGATGAAGACTGAGCTGAGAATCTCGACTAAAGGCCTTGCCACATTGCTTACATTCATAGGGTTTTTCACCAGTATGAATACTCTGATGTTGAGTTAGGTGTGAAGCTCGACGGAAGGCTTTCCCACATTCCTTACATTTATAGGGTTTTTCCAAAGAATGACATCTTTGATGTTGAGATAAGTAAGTATGCTGGTTGAAAATTGACATTCTGTCATATGTGATTATCCCTTGACTAAAATATTCTTTCTGATTTTCTAGTTGCTTATCCAACTTGTCTTTGACTTCCAAATAATTTCTGGAATTGATTTTACCTAGCGTACAGTTTTTGAGCCTACTATTCATTTCCCACTGAGACAATTCTGTTTCATTAGTGTCCTTTTTTTGAGGTAAGTCTTTATTTGCACACCTTGAAGGCAAGTCTGAAAGACAAGACAACAAATAAATCAAGAGAAATAGAACTTTGATACAGAAAACACAATAGGAAAAAATACCTGTAAGAAATAACAAACATGCATCAATATTTTTCAAATATTGTTTACTATTAACCACAGTAATTCCTATCTTTCACTGAATAGACATGTTTCATAGAAATAATACCTACCCTGTCTTCTATTCTACTATTGTACTCTTTTCTATTTCTAGTAAAACTTACAACCTTGATTTGATGGTAGAATAGTGTTATTGATTTGTTTTTGAGAAATACTTGCTTAGGATAATCTCATACAATAAAATGTTAAAAGGGTTAGAAATGAGAGAATAATGAAAACTTACCTGAAAGGTTAAGGGAAGAGATTAAGTAAGTGTTTAAATTCACTGGTTCTCAAAGACATGTAAAGAACTTAAAATTATAAATAGCTAGGTATCCATCAGCCTAAATGAATCTAGATCTAGTTAATTATGCAAAAGAGCATAGAGATCTCTAGGGGTTTGTTTTTGGGGGGGTACCAGAAATCAAATTCAGGACCTCATGCTTGCCAGGCAGGTTCTATGCCACTGAGCTAAATCCCCAGCCCAATATCTCTAGTTTTAATACCTTCTACCATGTGACTTAAATTCACTTGCTATCTCTGCTTAAAATGTTTTAATACCTTATACAATTAAACAGAATAAAACCCAAACTCTTTTATGACACTGACAAAGTTTTCCATAGCCAGCCCCTATTTATCCAATTTCCCTCATCATCCCTCTCTTATCATTGATCACTATTAAACATAACACTTTCCTTTTAACTTTGAAAAAGTCATGAAGCCTTTTCTAACTTTCAGGTAGTTAGAACCTGCTCCACTTCTTTAGGCATATGATAGGTGAGGAAACTAGGCAGTTTTGGAGTGTCGTATATGACTGGGCAACAAGCGAAACTGCATGCTGTAAATTCTTTATGATTTGGGTTGGAAACTCTGAAGGCTACAATGAAGCAACACTATACCAGTCTAGGTGGGGTCTAAGTCTCAATCATTACTGAATCATCTCAAACCCAGAAACAGGAGTATTAGGGTAATTCATGACTGCTTGCCATAGCAATCTTAAATCTTTACTGGTAAGATGTAATAGTATCCAAAACTTTTATATTTGTAAAATTATAAAGTTATATTTGTAAAATTTTTTATAATGTCTAGCAGTCACTAAAAAGGTAAATAACACAGGAAAATTGAAAAACAGGAGAGGCAAAAGAGAAAAACAGGCCTCTAAAGGCTCAAGCCATGTTTTCACCAGCACACTTCCATCACTCCTAAGTACCAATGCGCTTCTGTTTTGTAGTCAACCTTCCTCCTACCCTAAAGTAAATGTCTGACTGTGGCTTTCCCATCAGTTCCTTACAAGCAGAAACAAAAGTACAAGTGTAATAAATCTATGATCATATATGTACCTCTCCAATTGTCTTGCTCTTGCATACTGTTAGCATGTTTATCTTTAGCTCCCCCTATTCTTTTCAAATGAGATACTGAATTGCTTTTGTTTACTTATCTTTATTTCACCCTTCATGCCATCTCATATGTTTGATTTATTTGTCTATCCAACCCCAATTCTGTGTTCATTCTAGAATACCTTTATCATTTCTCAGGCACTGCTGTAAGGTCAAGTCATAAGGAAAAGTCTCTAAAATTACCTAAAATAATGGAAGGCATCTGAAGTGATATAGATTATGGCGACTTTATTCAACAATACAGGTCAACAAAAAGTCTCATACACTTCTGTTAGGAATGCAAAATGGTACAGCCATGGTGAGAAAGACAGTTTGGTATTTTCTTGTATTCTTAGTGTATGATCTAGTAGTCATACCTCTAGATATTTACTTATATTCTAACAAATCAAATATTAGTTTCTTTTTTCCTTTTTTTGTAATACTAGCAATTAAACCTGGAGTTTTGCCTTTAATAGGTAAGTGCTACACCATGAGCTATTTCTCCAGCCCTTTTTAACTGGTTTGTATTATAACCACAATAGTATTAATGGTATATTAAAATTTCTGAAGAATATCAATAAATGCTGTATAAAATAAAACCAGTATCTTTTCCAAGTATGGTCATGACTAAAAGAAAATGAAGAAGATCCAGAGGCACAGGAAGAAAGTGAGAATCAGAAACCAGAGAGGAGAATATGTTCTGGTTATAGTTACCTTCAGCACATTTGCTGACTTTAACTGTCTACATATTTACTGATAGTCTGAAAAAAGTCGAGAGACAAGGACTTGGACCCATAAATAGCAGGGAGTAGAAATAAACACTAAAAGAGAGGAATGAGCCAGGGCCTACACTTCTGAAGGAGATGGTCAGGAAGTGTGACACCATAAAGTATACAGTCTGATGGAAATAACTGGCATGACACAAACCATTTAACTATTGTTGTGGCAGTCAACAGTTTTCTGACACATGAAGAGTAACACTTTGAAACTTTCACACTGAAGTCATCAAAAAAAGGGGCTGGGGGGGCTTGGGACTCTCCTATGCTAAAGCAAAGGCACAAAAGGAAACCTTTGCCAAACCTTTGTCTCATTACAGTAAAATGCATATCCCTAGATGGAGACATAAGCTGCTAATGATGTATGTGCTTTGTGAAGCAGCACAACATGTTACTGTGAAAGCACTGCCCTAGCCCTTCTTATATATATGAGGATGAAATGGGCTGTGTCTCTAGCTGGCCGAAGGGCAAAAAGAGGTACCACCTACATTCAGGAAGACTGCAGGAACTTGCTTTATAACTCTTTCATGTAGCCTCTTCTTATCCTTAAGCACAAGAATAAAGCTTTTACTCTTGCATTTAAGTGTCTCTGGCTAATTCTTTTTGAGGAGGTCTCATGGACTCTGAGGTGGTCTTTAAAAAAAGGGGAATCCTCTCACCACAAATGAAAGCAATAAGGAATGGCTCAATCTTACTCATTTTAAATCTTTCACTTTGAGATGGGGAGCCACTGGATAACTTTTAAGAAATGGTATGGCAAGATCTCTTTTTTATTTAAAGATTAATTACTTTGGTTGCTTTGCCTAAGTGTATAAAATTATAAAAAGTACAGAGGCTAAGTGGATACAATGAAGTTGTAATTAACCGTGAAGGTAGAGGGTGAGAAGCACTGGATGCTAGATGTATTTGGAATGTATACTAAAGTGTTCAATATGAAATAGAGAAAACAAAGATGTGTTTTGTCTGAACTGGAACAACAGAAATACGGTTTACTAAGGACATTTTACTGTAGAAAGAATGGGTTTAGACGTATTAAGGGTTTATTTTTATGCTTTAAGACAAAAATAAAGATTTTGAATGCAAATATATTTATACAAAAACACACAAATGTGTACCTCTCAGGAGATATCTTTGGATTAGAGGTATAAACTTGGGAGTCACCACCAAATAGTTGATAAAGTTAACAGATTTGATGAGATCATTCAGGAAGTGTCTTTGGATATATAAGACAAGGGAAAGAAAGGGGAAACTGTGAAGTCGAGTCCTATAAAAAAGTCATATGATAATTTCATTTCATGAAGAAAAAGCACTTGACAAAAAATGAAGTTGTTTTATAATAAAACTCATCAAATTATGTGTCCAAATAATGCATCTCAGCACCATACAATCTCCATACAAGAAGACCATAGGTGATATAAAACTCAATAATGAAAAGTTAAAGGACTTTTCTCTACATCTGGAAAAAGACAAGGATGCCCACATTTATCACTTTTAGTCAGCATATTACTAGAAGTCCTTATCAGAGCACAGAGGCAAAAAACAGGAATAAAAAGTACCCAACTGCAAAGGAAGAAGTGAAGTAATGTACAGTTTGCTTAGAAGATCTAACATATGAAAAAACACTAAAGGCTCTACTGAAATGAACAAGTAAATAAAGTTACAGGATAGCAAATCAACATTTTTTATATGTTGATCAGTAGTTTATATACACTAACAACAAAACTATCTAAAAAAGAAATTAAAAGTTCCCTAATATGTAGAATCTTTTAAAATGCATGAAAATAGAAGTGACTGTTGCTGGACAAGAGGAAGGGAAAGGCAAGGTGGGTGTAAAGGAGAGGAATGGGGTAATGGATTTAATCAAAATGTTATATTCATATATGAAAATACTGCATTGACATCCCAATATTTTACAACATAGGCACTAATAAATGTATTTTTAAAAATTGATGAATGCTATTAACTTTATCTCTGTGATATTGGATTGGGATAATGAAGGATTTTCATTATTATACTACATGATGTATGTAGTTATGAATTGTGTCTAGATGTCCCCTCAAAACCTCATGTATTCAATCAGTGGGGCTTTTCAGAGGTAGTTTGATTTAGGATGTATGAATATGGATTAAAGGTATGTGATAACTAAAGTAGTTCACTGATTGATTTAGCATAGCTCTGGGTTTGAATAATGGGAAGGCCTACCTTTGGGTAGCCTGGATAGGATAATAAGAGAATGGCAGGCTTGCTGCTGCTGTTTCACTACCTCATTTCCTCGGGTATGCCCCTCGGTCATGCAGGCCTGCTTTGGAGCTAGCTGACTGTGAACTAAAACCTCTATCAACTGTGAGACAAAATAAACATTTCCTCCTTTAACTTGTGGGTACTGGTATTTTTGCCCAGCAACAAGACAGTAACTGAGACATATTAAAAATTTATAAGGCCAGAGAGTTAGCTCAGTGGCATAAGCACCTGCCTGGAAAGCATGAGGTCTTGAGTTTGGTACCAAAAAAATTATATATGTATGTATTTATTTACTTATTTACTTTACATTCAGTTGAAATCAATTGCACTGGATTGAATTCAATACTTTGGATTGAATTCAGGGTCTTTCCTAGTTTTGTTTTGTTTTGAATTTTAAGACAGGGTCTTATGAACTTGCTAAAGCACAGCTTCATCTCAAACCTCCTGACTCAGTTTTTCAGAGTTCTAGGATTATACATGCTCAGCACTCTGCTTAGTT